ACGACTAAAAAATCCACAAAAACTCTTCCCTCAACCGAAGCTGTTTTGATATTCTAATACTACGAGAAGTTTGCTATTAAACGATATTAAGCTTGCTTGCAAAACAGTTCACTTTTGGAACAAATTTTTCAATTGAAAAAACGGCCATTACTTATTAGCCAACCCAATAGTTGCGGCGAGTGTGTCGAAACAGGCGTAGCAAACGAATAGACGCAGCAGCAAACGTGCGCAGCATCTGCATCAGGACCAACTTGGTAGCGGCGCTGCCCGTCACCTATCTCCCAACTCGTCAACTCATACTCGTGGGAAGTAACTCTACACGAGGTGCATTTCTAAGATTTTTCTCCGCAGCGGGGAGGAGTGACAGTTGCTTAAAGACAGCGTCCGCGATCAACCAGGGTGCGGAAATCAAGGTACAAGATGGCGGAGCTTGTTGCCACGGCGGGTATCCCTTTTTCGCAGCTAAAAAGCGCTTGGTAAAAGCAATTCAGTTCAGCAACGATAAGCTGACTCCGCCTATGAAGGCGGAGTCAACAAGTTCTTCGATCATTACCAACAGTTGTTAGCGGTGATAATTGCTAATCTTATAGGATATGCCTTGGGAAATGAGTCGCATCAAGTGGCGATTAGATTCAGAGAGCTCGCCCAGAGTTTTATTACTCGTCCATTTCCCTTGAACCTAATTTGAGGCGTTTTGATGGCTTGCTCTGTTTTTCCTTGAAGGCAGTGGGTACGGTCCATGTGGACGGGCGGTTATCGCCAACATCGTTGATGGAAAGGAGGAGTGGGGTGGGGTGTGACCAAACGGCCTTGCGCAGCAGTTCCACCAATGACGTTGGCAACAACCGCCCGCCTACAGCAACCGTGCTTCAACTGTCAACTAGCACATGTATCTCTGCTCTTTAACATCGTTGCTGAACTGTATAACCTCAACAATAACGTTTCCGCCGTCTAATCCGAAGCACAACGCTCATCAAGAACTGTTTGCATCCTTGTGCTCATTCAGCCTCCTGGCAGGATAATTCGCGCGATTTACAGATTTTCCAAGGTGCATCTGGCCAAATTTCAGCCTGTATACCAGAAATGAGACTCTCCAGCATAGTATAACCTTGAGGCTCAAAGGGTCCTTTCCATGGACATAGGCAACAAACAGAACAAGAATGGTCAGCGGCTTTGTTCGCAGCCATGTAGAAGAATCGGTTGAGAAACGTTTGGAGAGTTATAACTGATGTATCCTAATCACTGGCCCGTTCCTCTCTACCGTAGTGGAAGGAGGGTGCTGGCAGTGAACAAAGAGGATCAAATGTTGTCTAAATGCGTAAACAAATTTCCCGCCCCACACCATTCGTCGCGGAGTGCTGCCTCATGACAAGTACCCGGCAAGCAACAAGTCTGATGTAGAGAAATAAGTGTGGCCGAAAGCGTCATAAAAATGCTGAGGTTATGGCAGAAGTCGCGAGCAGCGGACCGGGATTCGAACACCGCATCTTCCTGCTTACCGGTACACTTACACGGTAATCAGCAAGTAATTCGGGTCGAAATCCCGTCCACCCCGTGGTCCCCGACTTTTGCCCATAGCTCAGCATTCTTGTGATAACTGTGCGCCAGTGCTTTCGGGAACTCTGAAGCTCTAAACTCCCCTACACACCATCCCTTCCGATACAACCCTGACAACTAACGCTAAACGTTTATTGCGACCGATCAGCATAAAATAGATGAGGAAACTTGAGAAAAAATTGTCACAGTGAAGAATTATGCGGCAGTGATAATACGCACTGTATTGGTATATCCAGCACCTGAAATTTACACAATAAACTCGGTCTGCTTAGTTTAGGATTGAACTGCTCGGGCACTTACCAAATGCTGATCCATTGATTGCAACAATGAAATCTCCCCTATTTATGAAGCCTTTGCCCTTGCCAAATTCAATGCCTTGATTAATTCTGCTATCCGTGTCAGCGTTATAATCACTCTGACGTGGTTTGTTGTAGAACACTGGGAAAACTGCTCTGAAAACGGGAATTCACTGACCATTAGGCACAGGTCCTGTACCTACTGTAAGAGGGTGTAACGAGTGCCCGTAGATTCAGAGTAACTATATAGTGCGTTAGTCAGCGACGCCTAATCTTTTTTTCTTTTTTCTCTTTTTTTCTTTTTCTTTTTTCCCTTTTTTTATTTAAAAGAAAAAAAAGAAATAGATAGGGTCGCTACTACCACTATATAATTACTATGATTTACGGGACTCTTACAACTCTTACGCTACCTACACTATAAGTTTAGCCGGTACCCGTCAATTGCTTTTCATCACCCTAAATTTCTACTGACTGATATGGTCAAAAATTGCTCATGAACATTCGATATCGCCGCGATCGGTTGAGGCGGTGTCAAGAGCACACGGAATGAGCCACCCATGTGGTTCACGATGTTTTCCTTTCAAAGGTAGAGCTCAAGGTAAGCGCTCGCACGGTCAGTGTGAGGTGCGGGTTTGGATCTAGCCCGAGGTGAAATCGTTTGCTCATCAGTCTGCTTTCTTGTCATAGCTTCTCAGACAGTAAATCTAACAATGGGAACCCTAACCTTGTTCTCCTAACAAAAGGATATCCTTAATGTTAAATCGAAAGTTCCCGTTGTCTAGAACCCGTTCTAGAACCATGGATGCTCAGATGATCCTGTCGCTCCTTGTGCCCTATATCCTCGTCGATTTACATGATTTGTCACAGATAAATGTTAAATGATAAATGATATTCCACACACAGGACAGCTGTTATTTCACATCCTCGGAACCCCAAGGATAACTTGATGAGCCGGTTTTCCGATATTGGCAGTGAGCGATGTGACTTTCCTTTGTTCATAGCATTCTTGCAATAGCTTCTCGCCATCCTACTATATATAATCCGCTAAGTATGTCTGTCTGTCTGTCTGTCTGTCTGTCTGTCCGTGTGTCTGTCACGAAATTCATAGCGACCGTCCCAGTAGCTGTGGGAAGTTGATTCCAAGGAGTGATATAGGGGCTGTGACGGGAACATCGGTGAGTGACAGGGAGTGATACCAGCTGATAAGATCTGATAAGAGGCGTCAGAAGTTGAGGGTCACCGAGCTCATAGTGCGGGACACAGCAACAGTGGGACGTTAGTTTCAAGGTATGATATAGGCTGTAGGACAGGAACATCATTGGTGGGTGACAGGGAATGATAGCTGATAAGATCTGATAAGAGGCGTTAGAAGGGGAGGGGTACCGAGTCCATAGCGCGGGTCACAGCAACACTGGGACGTTTGTTCCAAGGTATGATATAGGCTATGGCACAGGAATATCATTGGTGGGTGACAAGAACTGCTAGCAGCTGATAAGATTTGATAAGGGGAGTTAGAATGGGAAGGTCACCATATCCATAACGCGGGACACAGCATCAGCTAGGCGTTGATTTCAGCAAATGATATAAAGCGGGAGGGGACGGCGACGGCGGGTGACGGGAAGTGATAACAGCTGATAGGGGCTGATAAGGAACGTTGTTGTTCAGTCAAAGTGCTGGAGCCTTTACACTACCAAATTATAGAGTTTTAGTGATAGCGACATTGATGACGGGTGACAGGCAATCTTATCAATTGATAAGAAAGGATAAGGGGACATTCTCACGACATCTATGACCACTACACTGTTAAGTATTGGTTGGGCTAATTTTTCCTTCAGCCATCACTTTCCTGATAACAATAGAAAATGAACTCATCCCGCTATCACTCTATTTTATAGAGCAAAGTTTTGTGTGTCGGTTTGTCGGTATGTATGTATGTATGTTTGTTTGTTTGTTTGTCCGTCCGCAAAATGCTTCACGGGATTCAACATGTAACTGAAAGGAGAAAACGACCGCTAGCCAATCTAGGAGCCTTTGTGCAGATGTATCAATCCAATGTTTTATATGAGACAACCACTTGGTGCACTTCGAGCCATTGCACGGGCTGCTCCCGTAGCAACGGGACGTGGGTGCAGTGGGACAGGGTAGGGAAGGGCAGGGAAGACGGGGTACGGGGAAGAAGTAGGGCGAGGGATGTCGCCATGACGGTGGAAACAGGAGCATTAGTGAAAGCGACAAATAGAAGAAGGGAGGGATCAACCGCTAGCAGAGTTGCAGGGCAATCTATAATGTGCTATCAATCTGAGTAGTACTGCGAATGTGATAATACACTGCACTATATAAAACCAGTCGGATCGCACGGCTCACGCCGTGCTCTCCTCCTTCTCTTGAGCTCGGCTTCGCCGA